CTGAGGAAGAGGAGCAGCAGCTTCAGGAGGACACTGAGGAAGATCTGGAGACTGAGGAAGAGGAGCAGCAGCTTCAGGAGGACACTGAGGAAGATCTGGAGACTGAGGAAGAGGAGCAGCAGCTTCAGGAGGACACTGAGGAAGATCTGGAGACTGAGGAAGAGGAGCAGAAGCTTCTGTCTCAGCTTCAGACCACCGGAACCTTTGACGTCCTCAGGTCTCTGTCGGAGAGTCAGAACCGCCGAGCTTCAGGTCTGGACCAGTCCGTGGACGAGTCCATCGTGATGACGAGCAGGAAGAAGAGGAGGGCGGTGATTTATGACAGCGAGGAGGAGGAGGAGGAGGAGGAGGAGGAGGCTCCGCTCAGCGACTTGTTTCCGGTTCTTGGAGCCTCCACCCCGAAATCTGCGTCGTCTCCTCAGCGGCGCAGGAAGAGCGTGGGAAACCTGACCGTGGCGTCGCAGCGGTCCCTCCTCCGGTCCATCATGGACGAGGACGTTCAGGAGGACCAGAGCAGTGATGAAGATGATGAGTCAGGGTCAGACTCTGAGGAAGAGGAGGCTGCAGACGATGAAGATCAGATCAGTTCAACTCATGAGGAAGACGAGGAGAACCTGGAGGAGTCCAGTGCTGAACCCGAGCTGGGCTCCGGTGAGAAGATGGACTGCTGCGCCGCCGAGTCCAGCGGTGAGCCCGAGACCTACGAGTCCCTGGTCCTCAAAGGGAAGGAGTGCTACAGCCGGGCCAGACTGGACCAGGCCCTGAGCTTCTTCCTGCGGGCCATCGACATGAAACCAGGAGACCCCGAGGTCCAGATCCTGACCATCCAGCTGTACCGCCAGCTGACCCAGAAACAATAAGACCCTGAGGTCCACATCCAGACTTGGACCCTCCAGCTGACCCAGAAACACCTTCATATTTAAACTGTTGTTTTGTGAAGCACATTAATGTTAAAAATGTCACTTTTTTCCCTGTTGGAATAAATGTGGAAATGTTTTTGTACTAATTAAAGAAAAATTTGTAAAAAATTTTTTTTAAATAAAATGAATTAAAATAAAAATCACTCTTCAGCTGTTTGATTGGAGCAGGGGGCCCAAACATTTTCCTGAGAGGGCCAAAATTAAAATCAACCTGAGGGCCGCGGGCCAAATGCAATAATATAAGAAATGCTTAATACTTACGTAAAGTTGTTGTATTTTTTATGATTAAGCTAGCAGCCAGTGTGGATGCCCACATCCTTTGGGTTTTTTTTTTCAGCCCATGGACATGGAGAAAATTTAACGTATGATCAGGCAGCAGAGGCTCATGGGACTTATAATTTAAAATGAGTATATGTGGTCTTATAAGGTGTGCAAATCTACAGTATATATGGTCTTAAATCTAATCTAAATGTCTCTTGTAATTACTTGTATTTTATATTTAATCTTAACATAATTATAATCTAATAACCAGGACAACTGCTGGTGGCCAAATCAAGTGGCTTGGTGGGCCAATTTTGGCCCGCGGGCCCCACTTTGAGCACCTCTGCCATTGAGAATCAGTCTCAGCTACCAACACCCCCCAATAGATCCAGATATCTGTAAACTAGACTCTTTTATTTTTGTCTTTAGCGTTTTGAATGAAGCTGATGCATCCATGTTTGTTAGATATTTTGCTAACAGGAACATAAAGAACATCCTCAGACAAAAATCAGTAACTTAGATTTGCATTTAAAGCACAACTCCTACAATAATATAAAACAAGATCATTTTCCTTAATTTTTTTAGAAAGCCTAAAAAACATTAAATCTTTAAAACTTCTGCTTAATGCATCTTTTTAAGACACCTTTCAGTGTGAATTTGTTTATAAGAGCACAGACTGAGATTTGCAAATTGACATTATTTATATATCTTTCATGATCAAGTGAAGGGTTCTTAGTTTCATTTCTTTCATTTTATACTTAAAATAAATGTTTTGCTAATAAAGAATCTACAATTTGTAAAAAATAAAACTTTATCGATATTCTTTTCATTTATTGAATGTTTATGATTTTCAATGTGTAATAAAAATAATATATAACATAAAAAACGATAAAATATGAGGCAAAATTGCAAAATCATGAGTGAAAATTTGAATCTTGCACCACATGATATGCGTCATCGCGTCCCGCTTAAATCCAGTTCAGCCAATCATCAACGAGGGACGGCGCAGCCTGATTTACACACAGTTTGTATAAGACCCGCCTCTCTGAGCTCTGGATCCATTCGTCTCTGTGAATCCACCGAGAAGAGAAAATGCCTGAACCTGCCAAGTCCGCGCCCAAGAAGGGCTCCAAGAAAGCCGTGACCAAGACTGCCGGCAAAGGAGGCAAGAAGAAGAGGAAGACCAGGAAGGAGAGCTACGCCATCTACGTGTACAAGGTGCTGAAGCAGGTGCACCCGGACACCGGTATCTCCTCCAAGGCCATGAGCATCATGAACTCGTTCGTCAACGACATCTTCGAGCGCATCGCGTCCGAGGCGTCCCGCCTGGCCCACTATAACAAGAGGTCCACCATCACGTCCAGGGAGATCCAGACCGCGGTCCGCCTGCTGCTACCCGGAGAGCTGGCCAAGCACGCCGTGTCCGAGGGCACCAAGGCCGTCACCAAGTACACCAGCTCCAAGTAAACCACTGCTGCAGGGACTCAAACCAACGGCTCTTTTAAGAGCCACCCACCTTTAACTAAAGAGATAATTCCTCATTGTTTTAACTGATTCATGCTGAATAAACTGTAGCAATGACTCGACATATTGTTCTTTCAATATAATTTCTCTATAACACAGTCTGTAGCGGAGTTTGTGAAATTAAAAATTTCTGTAAATATTAAATTTGACCATCTATGGGGCCTAATGAATCAGTAAAATATATAAAGATGTTTTGCTTATCCCTGCAGATGTTTGCTGTGTTTATTCTTTATGAATAGAAATTAGTGATGTTTGATACTGTTAAATTTCTTGCCGATACTGATTATTTTTTGCTTTCTGTGAAGCACTTTGTGATGTTTGTCTGTGAAAGCTGCTATAGAAATAGTTTACTTAATGATACTGAGAACACATGTCTGGTAAACCAGGCTTTTTGTACCTGCATTGAGATGCATCAATCATATTGTACAATGTAAATACTACGATGTTAAAATGTGCATTGATGTGTATTGACGAATATATTTTTTTGTAAAGCACAACAAATAAAACGATAAAGCATCAATTACAACATAAGATTTCCAGCAAAATATAATGTAAAACATAACTCATGTTCAAAAATTACTTTTGTCAATTGTTATTCCATGCCCCCTACTATTACAAAAATTTGAGAATGTATTGACCCGAATAATGTAAATGTCAAGTATTTGTTTTTCTTTTGTTTGATTATTGTACTGCACCTTGTGAATTCCATTTCTACAGAGCCCGAGAGTGGACATGGGGGATTTGTTTTCTTTTGCAATACCTCGCAATATTGTTTTGAGTTCCCACGCAAGTTTGTTTTGTATATGAACTGAATTAAATCACTTTTATTTTTGAAATATCCAGTTACCAAACCAGGATGTGTCGCCACAAGTTCGTGAAATTGACATTGATGTTGTGTGGCTGCAGTGTGTTAAAATATCAGCATATGACATACTTCCATTTGTGTCTGTGTGATATATTCATTCTGTAGCTGAATTAAAGCAGTAGGCTGTGAGTTTGTCAATAAACCGGGAGACACAACAGTGATAAACTACTTTTGCAAGGAAACACAAAAGAAAAATAATCTGTGTCCCTTTGCGCGCTCCGTACATTTCTGTGAAATGCACTAATAAAATTTGACTTACTTACTAAAACAGGAACAGGAAGAAGCACTAGCTTATCCAGTCCTGTCCCTGATTTCATACAAACCAGTTACAATTTACTCTTTCATCTATAGAAGTTAACACACACTTTAGAATTAACATTGTAAACATACACCTTATATACCTTATATTTCTCTTGAATATGAATGAATGAGCCATTTCTCTAAAATTCCCTTCAATAAAGTATTGAGTTGATTTTTCACAACTGTATTGAATCAGATGTTTATAATTATTAATGATCCAAATGTGGAAAAGCTGGTTTTACAGCCCAAGTGTGGAAAACCCACCCAAACTGGCAACAGTTGAAGATTTCTGAATAAAAATGTGGATTAATCTCATGTTTGTGAATATAAAAATATAATTTATGATATAAAACCATATTTCAGCTAATAAATATAAACAGGATGAGCTCTTCAGGAAGTGTGGTGGCTCTGAAAAGAGCCGTTGTTGCACTCAGTGCGGACCGAGCAGCTGTTTATTTCTTGGCCTTCTTCGCTGCGGGCTTCTTGGCGGGAGCTTTCTTGGCCGCGGGCTTCTTGGCGACCTTCGGCTTCTTGGGAGCGGCCTTCTTGGGGCTCTTGGCCACCTTCTTGACCGCCTTCTTGGCCGGTGCCTTCTTGGCTGGTGACTTCTTGACCGCCTTGGGCTTCTTAGCAGCGGGTTTCTTGGCTGCTGTGGTCTTCTTGGCGGCGGCGGCGGGCTTCTTGGCCTTGGCGGGAGCCTTCTTCTTCACCACCTTCTTGGCCGGTTTGGCGGCTTTGGGCTCCTGCTTGGCGAGCTTGAAGGACCCGGAGGCTCCGGTGCCTTTGGTCTGGCTCAGGGTACCCTTGGTGACCAGCTTGGTGACGGCGGTGTTGATGCGCTTGTTGGCCTTGCTGACGTCCACCCCTTTCCCGGCCAGGACCTTCTTGAGCGCCGCCAGGGAGACCCCCTTGCGCTCCTTGCAGTCGGCCACGGCGGACACGATCAGCTTCTGGATGCTGGGTCCGTCCTTCTTCGCCTTCGGGGCGGCCTTCTTCTTCGGGGCTTTGGCCGCGGCTTTAGCCGGGGCGGCTGCTGGGGCTTCTTCTGCCATGTCGAGGTTTGTGTTCGCGCTGCTCGCTGTGAACGTGTGGAGCTCGGAGCAGGAGGCGGGACTTATAACACACATGAGAACCGTGAAGAAGCAACTCAGTCCGCCGCTCAGCTGCCGCCTGAAACACGCTCTCACTTGTGTTTTCTCCTCAACGTTTTCGTCAAAAATTACCTGTAAAACAAACACTTTCTCGTACAATTTTAGCTGGAACGGACAGAAAGCCCTCTTCTCTTCAGACTGAGCTCGTTTTTAAACCCATGGACGTTTTTTATTTCATCCAGGAGGCTTCAAACCTGTCAGATACTCGGTCACATCGTGCAGTTTTCTTAAAGTTTTGCTTTCTAAAATAACTAAAATCGTTTGTTTAAAAGATATAAAGTGTTTTTGCTGGTAGTGAAGACACCTGAGGACAGACCCACGGTGGACTGGTGCCGCTGGGATTCTTTGTTGAGTTTTAACTGGGAGGTTTTTGGTGGATGTTAACACACAGAGGCTGCTGGTTGTTTCTCATGGATGTTTGTATCACAGCTGATCAGACTCTACAAACTTTATGTCTCCATAAAACCTGGACCAAACTGAAAACACACTTTTATATTTAGTTATCATTAATAAAACACTTAATTTATCATGTTTATGATGAAAATTATGACACTGATGCTGAAAATCAACGGTGAGTAAAGATATAAATCAGACACATTCAAAGTCTTTCCTCTGCTTCTCTTAAATGTTTATTTTTATACTTTTATGTGAAAAATCACAACTAAACTCAGAGAGGGACAAAGATACACAAAATAAATATAGAAAACTAGAATAATTTGCATTAAAATGTGTATTATAAGAATGCCAAACATTTAAATTCTTTGATGTCTGACAAAACTGATCATAACTGAAAATAAATTTTACTGTTATATTGTTTATGATCTTTTTTAAAGTCCAAAATTTGAAAAATAAAGATCCACACTTAATTGCAGATGAATCATTTCTTTGTGACATTAATATTTTTGTAAAATAGTAAAGTACAACTCTAATAAGAGGCTAAAGTACTTCATATAAAATGAGTGAATACGAAACGAGGATTGTCCAAAAGTTGTGTGGAGAATAGGCAAATAATGTTTTGACTAAAATGTTAACAAAAATTGCATTTTGTCAAAATATAATGAATAAAAGCCTTATTAATGTATCATTTGAATGAACTGTCTGAAATATAATCATAAAACAAAATTTTGAAGCAAAAAAATTGATTTTGAGGATAAAAACGCCTTAAAATTTTTAGATTTTCCCTGTGAGCTAGCAAGGTTTTGTTTCATTTAAGCTGGGAAATCTCAATATTCAAATATAATTTGAGGTTTCCTCTTTATAAGGACATCAAAAAATCCCTCATTAA